AATGGATGGTAGGCGAATGTTTCCCATATGCTTTCACCTTTCCTGTAGTGCCTCTTATGTCAGTCTAGTCTCCTTGGAGGAAAGACATAATATATAGGTGATATATAGAGAGAATAAAAAAAACTTCCTTCATCTGAGAAGAATTTTCGCCCTGACCAATTAACTGATGTACAGATAATTGTCTCCAAGGTGTAGCATGGGTTGCCTGTGCCTGGGGCCATGCGGGGGGGGGGGGTAGGAGGGAGGGAAACAGACGGTGTACACATGTGCATTCAGCTGGCTAATGGCATCCGCATCACCCAGGAAATCACAGCTGCAGAGATAAAAAGAGTCATCCCGTTGTCTGGAGAGGTCACTTCCTGCTTCGCATGGAGAAGCCGTTTTCAATGGAGCCCAGCAATGGAAGCATGCAGCTGTATTGAGGCAGCACTGGGTGTTGAATTTTTGTACTCCCTAAGAATTTTGCACCTGGGGCAAAGCCTCACACTATACCACTGCTCCCAGATATTAAGAAAAGAACTGAGCATGATTTACTACAACACAGGTTGTTGTGTTGTTGGCATCCATCTGTCTCGAGAGGCAATGGAGTGTGGTTCCAGGAGTGAAGTCAAACTGCTGTTTAGCAGCACCAAAGTGACCTCCCCGGGCACAAACCTGGGCGGTGTGCATGGAGGTCCTGGGCTGCCCAGATGACATGACCCCCTCTTGGCCTCACTGATGTGGTCCAAAGGAAAGCATAGCAATACATTTGGCACCAGCCTGACTGCAGGCGTTGTTGGAAGGAGGTGTACAAGGCACCTGTCAGGGGTTCAGGGAGAGAGGCACAGATGAGGGAGGAGACTGAGAGCGAGGGGGAAGAATCCAGGAACGAGGAGGAGGATGACAATGACTTGAGGGCTTCCATGAGTCTCTCAAGTGAATCGGAGGATTCCCAAAAGGGGGCGCCCCTGGTCAGGCCAAGGGGAGCCACAGGGGGGACTCGTCAGGAGCAGGGGAGCAGCAGGTAAACCCCGAGTGGGAGTGGGAGATCGGGGCCGGCTTCCCAGCCGGAACGGAGTGAAGAGGGTGGAGTTCCCAGTGTGACACACGGAGCAGAGCAGGAAGCAGAGAGGGGAAGGAGATCGGGGCAAGACGTCCTGCCGGAAGGGGCGGAGAGTAGTACAGAGAGTAGTATAACTGTCAAGAGGAAGGTCAGGGGTAGCGAACGCGTGCCAAGTTCAAATGTGGAGGCGCGCGGAAATGCGGAGAGCCCGGAGGAGGAGCCTGGTCCCAAAGCACGGAGGAGGGGGGAGCAGGCGTCTGGAGACTCAGCGTCAGGGGAAAGCAGGAGGGAAGGAACCCAGGGGGCAGAAAGACCCTGCGGAAAAGGAAGGACAGGAAGAGGTGGACTAGCACAAGCCTCTTAAACTGGTGTAGAGGCGGGACTGATTCAGAGGGGACTTCAGCGGTCTAAGCGTAACAGACGTGGGGCTGCGCGCCTCGGCTGTGGAACAAACAATGTACTTCAATAAAGACTTTTGTAAATAAAGTGGACTTGGCGTTGGTCTCTTGTGAGCTGGGACCTGAGGCGGCCCTGACAGCACCATTCAAGCATCTTAGGGACTCCAGTCCAGATTTGTGTAGGGTTTACTCCTTAGCCTTTGCTTCTCCAATTTAGGAACAGATTTGTTAACATATGCTTAAAGACCAATCCAGACTGTTCCCCACCCCCATTTCATCAAATTATTAACACTTGGCTTAGGGTTTACTGAATAAAAACACCAGGCTATGAGAATCAAGGCTTGGGATCCCCATTATTGTTTAAGAATATGAAGACTATTCTGGAACGAAAAAGAAGCCTGTTGGGGTGGGGAGAAACCCCCTAATTTGCCTGATTTGGGAGAACTGAACATTTGCAACTGGCATTCTCTTGTCATTTCAGGGCGAGATCACCATTTGACTCTTGCTCTCTGAATTACCCTAGAAGATTTGCCCACAGCCTTTACATTATTTCTTTTGCGTGTTCTTTTTGTGGGTGAATCAGAGCCATGAGAAAGGAGAAAATGTGAGAACTTAGATGATCTGAAACAGTTTCCATCCTACTTTGGGAATCCTGCATAGTGTATTGTGAAGAGACTATTGTTTCTGACACCTTTTAGTGGGTAATGATATCTCACACTTCTTAAATAGGCATAAACAGACTCTGAGGTAATTTGATGAACAATTGTTACAGCTTCTACAACTGCTGTGAAGTTTGTTCCCTTACCCTCTCCCTCCCACAGCATTCTTTGAGTAATTCACATACCAAATGTATGCTTATGTAAAACAGCTTGTGCTATAGGCTGCCAGTACTTTTTCATATGACCTCTAGTGTAAAATGCAGTATGTCTGGCCTGAGTTATATTATTCTGTCAACATTTTGGTCTAAGCTTGAAGCAGCTCTCTGCACAGCTGGCACAGGAAAAGTGGACATCTGTGCAACTAGTCCAATAAACCAAGAAAAAATAATAGAAATTCAGTGGAATATTATTCTAGTCTTGGGGAATGAAAAGAATTTCTTGCTCTGCAAAACACACACAAATGCTGAGATTTCTTATTCACATACCTCCAGAAAGACTAAATCGTAAATCAGCACCATGGAAAGGTGAGAAGTTTAATATGGCTTTTATTCCAAATGTAAACATATTCATTCATATGCCAAATAATGGGGATTAATTTAAAGAGCTTTAGTTTCCTAGGAGTTAAGGTAATTTATCCTGCATTAGGGATTAGTTGTACTTCATTATGTGATATCCCTTTAGCACACTATGCCACTTTTAAATAATACAAATAATAGCAGCAACCACTATTATCAATAGGCACAATCAGTCCTTTTTAAAAAAAAAATGTTTAGGGGTACTCTCATTTTCCTACTCATATTGACATACTGCCCCTCAATGAGGCCAAACTTAGATTCACAAAATGTTTAGGGGTATGCGTCCCCCCAGAAAAAAAGCACTGGGCACAATTCAATCAAAGAGATTTATGTTGCAATCTTATATCCATTTACCTGGGAATAAGCACAATTGAAAGCAGTTGGACTTACTTCTGATTAGTCCTATATGGAATTGCATGTAAAGCATTGTGTACAAATCATTAAATGCTAACAAAGTGATTAGTAAATCCATAATAATAATGCTACCTGCAGTAATGATCAGGCAGCAATTTCACAATAACACAAATGAAAAAAAAATAGGGGTAAATGCCAGATTTAAACAGAAAAAAAATCTAGCATCAAACGTTTTCAGGCTGATTTTCGTTTACAAGTTTATAAAAGCATGGAAGTCATGGAGGTGCTGTAAGAGAGAAATGATTCTCTTTTTGTCTCAGAACATCGAATCATTCAAAGAAACCCATGGCACAATTTTCAGAACAAATGAAGTGTTTCTTCTATGATAGATGCCACAGGTTGTTGTGAAAACCATTACTGTTAATGGTCTTTAAAAACTACCAGTATATTACATAAATTAATTGAGGATAGTATCAATCTTCCTATTCATAGAGTGAATGCCCTGCTTACAGATGAACTAGGTAAAGGTAAAGGGACCCCTGACCATTAGGTCCAGTCGCGAATGACTCTAGGGTTGTGGCGTTCATCTCGCTTTACTGGCCGAGGGAACCGGCGTTTGTCCCCAGGCAGCTTCTGGGTCATGTGGCCAGCATGACTAAGCCGCTTCTGGCGAACCAGAGCAGCGCACGGAAATGCCATTTACCTTCCCGCCCGAGCAGTACCTATTTATCTACTTGCACTGCATGCTTTCGAACTGCTATGTTGGCAGGAGCTGGGACCAAACAACGGGAGCTCACCCCGTTGCGGGGATTTGAACCGCCAACCTTCCGATCGGCAAGCCCTAGGCTCTGTGGTTTAACCCACAGTGCCACCCGCATCCCACACAGATGCACTACTATCACACAAAAAGGAACCTTTCATCTGCGATGTGGAAATCCCTTAAAGAGGGGGAGGTTGCTGTCTGTAAACCACAGGATGTGATCCATCAACATTGCATTGCAAGTGCTGTTGCATTCAGTAAAAGTTCCATCTGAATAAACATGCTTAATATTGCATTGTAAGGCACAGTATGAAACTATGATATCTATTTCAACCCAACCGGCCGTTAATTTCTTTTTCTTTTTCTGGGAAAGATGGTGTGTGTCAAATGGTTAATTGAATAATGGTTCCCCAAAAGATTTCTTTCCAAAGATCAGAAATCATATTTTTGACAGGCTAATGAATGAGATTTCTTCAGCTGTAAATTCCAGAGCTCCTCTAGTCTTAATCAGATGAGTAAGAACAATTTAGTAAACTATTCCATGATATCTAACACAATATACCTAACACTTCCAACACTGTGTCATCACTCACCTTGATGATTATCTGTATTTTAAAATTTAAATTTAATTTGTGAAATAATGTTTTTGATTTTAGCATTTTACGCCAACTTGACATTTTGTGATATGGTTGTATAGAAATATTTCTATAAATAAATAAAATATTTTGTGGTTTGTATAAATGATTTCCATTGTCCTTGTTTCCCTCTTTTTCATTACAGTATTTATGCAGTTAAGCTATTAGAACCAATTTATTTTCAATGTTGACAGAAGTTGGTGAATATCGTCTTAATCCTTTCAAGTTTTCCATTTACGAAATTCAGTGGAGACTGTTTCAATTAGGGTCATCTGGTCACGTATCCCTTGATCCTTTGATCGCTAGAGCAGCAATACTGTGTCAGTAATCTGTAGGCCACCATTTGGGTTAATGAATCGGCTTGGCTTTAATTCTTGCCCAGATGTAATCTTTTATAGTTTTAATGATTCAGTCTAACATGAGTTCCAATTGAATGTAAACAGCTTCTTGGATATATGTGAAAATTCTCTTTTTAACATTTTGCCTCTGTTTCTAATTAATTGTAGAGCAATTAAATCGAACCCTGATCTGTTGGGATCAAGATTAAATCATAGAATGGACTGTGCTGCTTATATCTTTGATGAGATCATTATTGTCAAGACTAATAGTAATCAGGAAAAGAGGAAAGAACCAATGTAGCAGGGGGAGGGGAACCATTCAATCCCATTTTATTTCAAATATTCTCTTCTCACTAGACATCTGGTTTGGCTTAATGCACAATCATAGTTTCTCTTATATAACAGCTTTACTGAGAGATCTCAAAGTACGTATCTGCCAAAATAAATGTGAACTAGGTTACAGATATTTCCATTATAGAGACATGCTGAAGGAAAGACAAGGTATATAAAATAAATGTCTATGGGTTTGCAAAATGGTTCTTTAAAAGTCAAGGAGGAGAAAGATAACTAGTAGAAATGTGGGGATAGGTGGATGTGTGCACAATTACACTTAAAGAAATATAACAAAGCAACTCTGAATGGTAAGGGGGAAAGGGCCGGTCAACAGCCAGGATAAAGGGAAGTACAGGAATGTCCGTCCAAAATAACATGGACAGTTGCAGGCAGAAGGAGGAACAGTGGGAGAGGGTGTTTGCCCTTCTGTGCTGCCTGTGGGTTTCCTATAGGCATCTGGCCAGCTGCTTTGAGAAAGAGGATGCCAAACTAGATATGCCTTTGGTTCTGATCCATCAAAGTTCTTGCTATATCCTTAAACCTTGTCTTCTGTTATTGTGCTTTAGTGCTATGGGAGCAGCGCCTAAATTAGTTCAGAGCAGCAACAGATAACAAACACCGTTACTACTTGGAAAAGAGTTATTCATGCTCCACATACGTTATAAAAGGTTAAGGAGAATAATCTTAACATTAGTAAGGTAAGGTATAAATTTGCATGAACTTTACGGCAGGACTAAAATTGTATGGGTTAGATTTTTCCTCTATCTGTAACCTCAGCACCTTAGCAGTAATTGCTAATTTGCTGTTTATACTTTCCTTGAGTAAGTTGCGTAGGCCAAGGTCTCTGCTGGAAATACTGTAGGAGCCATCTGCTATCCCTTGCTGTCAAGGGCTGGGCAGCTATACAAACAAGCCAAGCAGTCTCTTAGGAGGCAGGGCTTTTAACAGTGCCAGTAAAGCAGCATGCATTCTGAAAGGTGTAACGCGCACACACCCAGACTCCCCTCTGTGCCACAAAGATGTTAAGCCACAATTTTTGCAAATTCAGGAGCTGCTCCGTAGCATCTTATACAATATTATGCGGGATCTCCGCTCAGCACAACTCTTTTATTGCATGAGGTGGCAAAAAAATTCAGGCTTGGTCCTGTTGCTGCACACCTCAGCTACAATCCTGAATGCAAGCATGGGATCAAAATTGTAGGTGTGGACAGGCAGTACTAACACAGGTTTGCCCTTATGATGAGTTGTTCAGACTAAGGACTAGGCCATTGTCAACAACTTTATAGAACCACCTTCTTCTGCGAAAAGCTGCCTGAACGCTACAATTGTCCTTCAAAGCTATCAACAGTAAGGTGAGTGGTGACCTGTGACAGGGTGTTGTTGTTGTTGTTGTTGATTATAGTGCCCCATCTTTAGAAGTCCCTCTCCAGAGAGGGCCATGTGGTACCAAGTCTGCTTTCTTTTCTTCCTTGGTGTCAGGTGAATTACTTGCCCAGACCAAACCTTTTCGAGTCAATAGCTTTTTTTGTTTTTAGCTGGGATATTTTTCTGCTCTGCTGCTTATATTGCTGTTGTTTGTACTGAGTACTTGTGTTTTGAAAAATATTTTTATGTAAGCTGATCTGGGAGTCTTGCCAGCTGAAGAGCAGGATAATATGGTGGAACCCCTTTTGGCCCCTTGTGTCGCCTGATTTGTTGGCAGCTGCAGTATCACCCTTTGGACAGAGTGGTACAAAGAATGAGGCATCTGGGCTGTGCTCCCTGAGCCTCCAATCTGAGCCTTATGGCACTTTACAATAGCCCTTTGTAAGGTGGGCCTGTTCTAGAACTGTTTTCTTCAATGACGCAGACCCAATTAACACGATTTTCCCACTCTACAGCCAATTAACTCAAGCTAAGTAGGAAATGTCAAGTTCAGGTGGGGCAACTGGATGTTTTCAGGATGCCAGAAATAGCATAGCAGAAATTAAATTTGGTTCAGAATAAAGAAAATTTATGTATGCTGTGGAGTGTCAATTTATACTTCAGCTACATATTAGCTTACAAGGGGAAATAGAACAGTGCCATCTCTCTAACCGAATGTTATGATAGGAAAGGTTGCAAGTTAATTAGAATTCTGCCATCTTTGTGCCAAGTTTACCTCAATTAATGATTATTTTTAAATCTATTTCTCTCCTTTGTAGTACTTGTTCTTTGGTAGAAAGGAGATGTTTGAGTCTTGCTGAAATTGTGTTAACAGTCTTCTTCTCTTTTACCTCTTAAGGTTTTCAATTAAACTGTTGTAATTTGCTTTTCTTCTGCCAAGCACAATAATGACTTATTAGGCACTGACAATGTTAGTGTAACCTCTTCTTCCTCTTCTTCTTCTTCTTTTTCTTCTTTAAAATACGAATGAATTTCAATCACAATCTAGGCTTCCAATGAATCAACACCCCTATTGTTACACCTGCAAATTGTACATAGAGAGAAGCATACTTCAGAATTAATGAGCACAGCTGCAGTCTCTTACATTCAACACTTGTAAAATAGACTTCTTTAAAGTGCCATTATCACAATATTGATAGAGTTATTTATAGTACTGCAAACGTTCCCAGTCATAACAGACTCCTTGTTATTCCACACACACCCAAATCCCCCAAAGTAGTACATGCCGTTGCCATCTTCTGGCATCTTTCCAGGGCCCACGAGAAGGCAGCAGGTGGACAATCCTTCACAGATGAACTCAAAAAGACATGGGGGGGAGTTGTCATCAGCAAATGTTATTGGAGGGAATAAGCTGAAATGTCAGGGCCCCTAATCTGCAGCAAACCTGTTTACATGTGTTTCCAGTGTACCTTCCCCTCCCATTTCCAGGATGGAATGTGGAAAGTGGTCAGATGCAGTTGCCAGCTTAGAAGTGACCTGTTCAGTGTTGTCCAAGAGTGAGAACTTCCATTTCTGCTTGTTTTACCATAACTCAACTAAGCAGATGCAAGTTCAGACTTTCAGCTATGGTTGTTGAAAACAAACATCTCAGGTGCCAACTTCTGTTGCTTCGGGAATAAAAGAAGTGTTGTCCTTGTGTTATATGAGTGAACAGCTAAACGTTGCATGAGGCAACAGCACTGTTGTCACTAGCTGAGTTTCTTCATTTCTAGGAATGTGTGGCAACAAAATTAATCCTAGTAAACTCAAGCATTATCGTTTGTCTAATGGTTTGGAAACTCAATATACAAACTGCTTGCGTAACTACAGTCCTCTTGACATAGTGACATATAGATTTTAATGAAACCATTCTGCAGGAGGAGTTAGTGTTCATTGGTTGTATTCAGGCTTATCATATCTGGCCTTGGCTCAACACCCGTCAACATACTACATATTTGTTTGTATGTCATTTAGAATGTTGAAATCATAGACCATCCATTAAGTGTGTCTTCTCATGACTTGCTGCTGCCTGTTCATTTGCAGTTCCCTCTGGGCCCAGTGGAGATCAATAGTGACCTCCTCAGCAGGTGTCCAGCCTTGTTCACCTTGATGCCAACCCTGACTGAAAGGACAGAGAAATCAGGCTCAGGAGACACGCCCTTAGTGCACACCCACTGTGGTTAGTTCTCCTCCCTCATCCCTTATGGTGGCAAATACATAACTCTCCAATGTGCCCAAGCCTAAATCTTGGACCTCATGTGTCCGAGCCTAAATCTTTAGTCATGAAATAGCAGCCTTCCTTCACCACCAAACCCCTGCCATCTAGCAGCTTCAGGTACCCCATTTACAAGAGAACTATGGGAAGGCTGGCAAAGCATTATGGGAGCTGTTGGGAGAGTTGTCCCAGGAAACAGCTTTGTGTGTTACATTGTAAATAAATATGTATTTATATACCACCCAATAACAAAATGTTCTCTGGTGACTTACAAGAGCTTCCTGTGCTATAGGAAGGGATGAACATTGATTGATCTACCTTACACTGGGACAACTGAAACCCATTCTTCGGCTATTGTTGGTGTGCCACCCACTTCTTGGAAGCAACATTTTCCATTGGTATGAGAGAAGTGCGTATGCACAACTTTCATTAGGGGTCATTTGCAGTAGAGAGGGGCTCAGGAAGATCCTGCTTGTGAGCTTCCCAAAGTGGCTTGGTTGGCTACTTTGAGAATAGATGGTATTTTGCCTGATCCAGCAGGGCTCTTCTTAAGATGATGTTCTAGCCAACTCTGTATAATTATATAAGGGCAGAAGGTCAGTACTGCTCCCATTTCTGACCCCCAACTTTTCAGTTTTCAAACAGACACCTAGGCTTATCAAAGTGTGTGTGCGTGTTTACACATACACACAGAGATAGAGAAAGAGAGTGTTTTTCCTTGACTTTTTGTGTGTGTGTGCAAGTGGTGGAAACAATAGGATTTAAAAGGAAATGGTTATTTATTTCATTTTTATCCTGTTCTTCCTCAAGGGGCTCAGAGTTCTCCATCCTCATGCTAGCTGGTCTGGGCATCCTTAGCATCAGAAATGGAACGTGTGATATATTTGCAATATGTTCTGTTTCTATTGAAATCCTCTTTTCAAACAGCACATTGCTTTCAGCATATACGTTGCAAAATTAATACACTTAAAATCAGAGTGGGAGTCCTCATAATTCATTTGGAGCTGTTTTTAAAAGTTGGACATTGGTCAAGGACAGCTTATTGATTGAATTTAACTGCATATATTTTCCTACCCATTTTATTGAAGCCTATTTTTCACGTCACTTGAGAAGGCTGCTAACATTTCAGTAAGGGGATATGCCAAAGCATTGCTTTAATTCATTATCTTTTGGACACACGGTAGTTGTGGCTTGGCCTGAATTAAACCCTATGGAGAATGTGATAGTGTAATTACTTTCAGGTATCCAGAACTGCTTTTAATTGAATTCTCTAGGAGATTATTCTTATGATTTGTTCTGCACTCATATCAGAGATAGATGTCGGGTATTTCAATGATATATAAACATTTCATCAACTAAGCAGAGGTTTCTTTTGGTACCTTATGAATTTGAAAGGTCAATGATTTGGTGAAACATTGCTCAATTAAGAATGACTAATTATATAAATGAATCTGTTACGAATTGCTTGTCCCCTTCTGTCATAATGAATAAGCATGGTGATTTTTGAGGGAACAATCTGTGATTTTGTTTGTCTGCCTTCTCTGAGCCATTCAAAATCCCTTGAGATTTTTGTAGACAAAACTGAGCATTAGCTAGATTGCTTCAATAAAGTAAAGTGTCATGTGCATCCAAAAGTTTATGTCATCCTACTACAAGCTGTAGTTAGGATCTAGATGTTCCCAGATTAGAATGAGTTATGAACTGTAAAGAAAGGTGAGGTAATGTTGACAATTATTGCAACTGTGTAATGGAGCAAACTCTGAAAAAAGTCTCTGCCAAGAGCTTGCAGAACTTTCCAAGTTATGTGGAACAATGGTATCTCGCTGAATTAGCTTTCCAGACTGACTGGGGGGCAGAATCTGTAGGTCCATTAAGAGGATACCTTATGGTACTTGGATTTATTATGGTACTACAGTGGTACCTTGGGTTAAGAACTTAATTTGTTCTGGAGGTCCGTTCTTCATCTGAAACTGTTCTTAACCTGAGGTACCACTTTAGCTAATGGGGCCTCCTGCTGCTGCCGCTGCGCCGCCACCGTGCATTTTCTGTTCTCATCCTGAAGCAAAGTTCTTAACCTGAGGTACTATTTCTGGGTTAGTGGAGTCTGTAACCTGAAGTGTCTGTAACCCGAGGTACCACTGTATGTCATTATAAGCTGTCTTCACTTTGTTGGCATTATCATCACCTTTAATCTTTCAGCTTGTCCATACAAGAACAAGTCAGCACTGCAAATGTTTAGACCCCAAGTTGAAAAACCAACTCTAATAAGCAGAATTTGCCAAGCCACCTCGTCATTTTACTTGTCTCTATGTGAAATCCATCTTTTTTAACTTGAAGAAAGCAATATATATAGCAAAATATATAGGTGGGTTTGTTCGGGACATAGGTGGCGCTGTGGTCTAAACCACAGAGCCTAGGGCTTGCCCATCAGAAGGTCGGCAGTTCGAATCCCTGCTCCTGCCAACCTAGCAGTTTCAAAGCACGTCAAGTGCAAGTAAATAAATAAGTACCGCTCCGGCGGGAAGGTAAACGGCGTTTTCGTGCGCTGCTCTGGTTTGCCAGAAGCGGCTTAGTCATGCTGGCCACAAGACCCGGAAGCTGACTGCAAACAAACGCTGGCTCCCTCAGCTGGTAAAGCGAGATGAGCGCCGCAACCCCAGAGTCATCTGTGACTGGACTTAACGGTCAGGGGTCTCTTTACCTTTATATATATTTCAATTAAGCAGTGGTGGGAATGTCCAGATTTTAGCCTCCCCTCCCAGTCCTGTTAGAAATAAAATAAAATAAAATTTTCAGCATTATACAGTCAACCTGATGTGCCCTCTGCTAACTAAATCCAAAAAATAAAACCAGTTTTAGCAATATACAATTAATCTATCGGGGGGAGGGGGAGATGGGCTTCACCTATAGGTAATGAAGTATTTAAGCACCTTTGATTGAAACAAATTGGACCACAGAGGATGTGTGATTTTCAGGGCCACTGAACATTGACAGTTCTCTCACTGAACCATACTGACAGAATAGACGTGCATGGCTGCATTTGCAAAGTCAGCTTAGTGGTAGGTTATCAGTAGAAAACCACTTGATACAAGATATAACTGTAATCATTTTGCACTTTCATTTTGGTTTCAGAAAGTCTGACCTGAAACCATCTTAAATCCCTATACATTTTTAAAACCATAAAGCAGCATTCCTTTGGTCAGTTGTTTTAGCTTAAATACTACTACAAGTGCTAATTTCATCTGTGCATATGCCTGTCTGTGTGTTTCTTTAATAGCTTCCCTGGTCTATAAAAGTAGCTTTGTGGTTATATGTCCAAAGTTCTAATCACAGTTCTTCAACTAAGATGGTCCTAAGACATTCTGTGGTGAACTAACATAGTCTGGCTATCCAGGCTTCTCTCAGATCATTATCTTTGGCAACATTTATTGTTAATAAAAACATACATCACATTGCAGTGCACTTGTTTGTGATGGCTTCAACACTCAGCAGGTAGCAGAAGCAATAGGAAAACTTTCAACTGAAGCTAACATATGTTGGTTTCATATTAAGATCACATCATTAGGACATTTTCTTGCCTCTAAATCTCTTGTTCATACTTGACTGCTATGTCGCAAAGGACGTCAGAATGGAATCACACTGGCACCTCCATCCTAGCCTGACTGAAGGCTTCAACCAGCAACCACTGTTTGAACTCCTTCTTAGTTCAACGCAACTGTATGGAAAGCATGAATTTTGTGGTTTACTAAATAAGATGTATACCTGGGAGTAATACCCAGTGAAATCAGTGGAACTTCTGAATAAAAAATTATATGATTGTGCACACCTTAAATCTGTTCTGGGGGCTCCTTACCCTCCGGAACAGTTTTGGAGGAGAATGAAGGGAAGTTCTGTTGCACAAACGGAAATCCTTTTGCTAACATAATTTCTTGGATACTGTTTTAAATTGCATAAATCTGCACTGGTTCTTTGGAGAATATCAGTTTAATGCTATAATTTTAAAAATCAGTTGTACCATTTTTATTTAAAATGGAAACTTTATTCACATAAACATAGCAATATAACTATTTTTGATGGAGTGCAATGACTAAGACTGATGATCATTTTATCATTCTCTTATACTATGCAAAATATTCTGTAATGTAATAAGAGTATTGTATGACAATTCATTGCATAGATGTTACTGCACACACATGTTTGTCTATGCAATGTTTTGTCCATCTTGTTGCTCTGCAAAATGTTAATTTTTGTAGCCTTTGCAAGCCGCCTTACAAATATTAAAGCACAAGCACATACAAGGGACAGCCCCTGTTAATTCTGTGATTTCTAATGATAAGTGATCTGAATCCATATTATAGCCATTTTGTCAGGAGCACAGCAAGGGGCCTATTCTCCTGTCTGTACTCATGTGTTAACTCCTATTGACAGGCATTAATGGGAACTGCTTGCACATATGGAGAAGTGAATAGTCCCTATGGGAGTTGTATAAACTAGTCTGTGCCTATAGAGATGTTGCTTCAATGGCCAGGATTAATATGAGCGTTGAGGAATGTTGTGGTGAAACAGAGACCTTTCTGCTTCTGGTGATCAGGTGCGAAAGGGGAAAAAAACAATGTCAGAATTTGTTACTTAAGAATTCTAGTTTCTCCATATATACAAATCAAGCACATCAAGAGCATAGCATATTCCCAGAAAATATTTTTAAAAATTATTAGCAATTTGAAATCAGTGTTGCTTTCCTCTTTCTGCGAGTAAAAATGCTCCAAGAAATTTGCTGTGGCTAACAGAAATTTTACTTAAGCATTCTTACATCTGAGTTTATATGTTTTATTGACAGTCTGGCTAGTTACCTAGTCCAAACCCATATCAACTCTTCTCTGCTCAGTTAGATGTTTGTACCCACCAAATTTTCTTCTGTTATAACCACACATTGGCATCCCTTTATTTTTGAAGGATTTCCTATAGTGAAACTCAAGCTGAAGCATTTGGGCATGTTTTGATCTAAGCAACAAATTGTGCAGATATGTTTGAGATTGTGTTAGCAGCCACTCCACTAACGTAACATGTAAATAGTCCCACTGAAATCAAATGGATTTAAATACATGGAAGTGGGCACAACTATGCTTTATATGTTTGTACTAACATCTTGAATTGGGCCCAGTAGCTCGCTGGCAGCCACTGCAGTGCTTTTGGAACCAATGTCCAGGGCGGACCCAATACATTCTGGCCCCTGAGGCAGACCCTAAAATGGCACCCCCCTGCTTGCCAGGGAAGATCTACATGAGGAACAGGGACGGGGGGAAAGATTGACACTAGGATCTGATGTCTCAGGCGGATCCTGCCACCTGAGGTAGTCGCCTTGCCTTCCCTCATGCCTTCCCTCAGGGTAGGCTGACCCTGCCAACATCATATGGTCCCAGCCGGCAGGCCTACTTAGCAACTGAGCAGCCCCATTCTGCACTAGCTGCAGCCTCCAGTTTGACCTCAAGGACAGACCTGCGTAGAGTACAATACAGTTGCTAAAGCCAGAGGTCACCAGAGTATAGACAACTGAGGCCACGCTATCCCAGGCCAGGAGCAGCTGTGGCTGGTGAAGCAGCCTAAGCAGGTTATGAACAAGCCTAACCACAGAAGCTGCTTGAGGAGGACTCCCAGGCTATGAAATTGATTATTCAATGGGAGTGTAATGAAGGCATGACATACTTTTCTGGCAAAGCTTGTGGTCCTTCAACAGCTCTGTGACAGACCAAAATTGAGTAAGTGACGCTTCCCTCTCCTCTGCCTATCCATGCAGGTAAAGAGCTGGAAAAGGATGGGTCTGAAACACAGAGAAGGCAACAGTGATAACATTTTTTGTCAGCCAAAACCAAGGTGGATAACCAGATTAATTAAGAGTACAGACAGAAAATGTGCTGAAAATGTTTTTCTTCTTGATTTCCAACTTTCTTTCCCCTTTGTGCAACTATGCAACTGTTTTATACATTATACAGAGGATATTTTCTTAACCACCAGGCCATTCAAACACTTTGATTGCTTCATACTGGTCTCCATGATTATATTTCTTCTATGTTTCATTCTGAATTTTTCATTAGGCATGGACTATACACCTGACTTTCCTTTTCCCCATATTAAGTGTGTTAAAAATACATCACTGCACCAGAGATGCTGACTCAATACTCCTGATGGAGACTTGATCTGATGTATAATTTTAAAACTACTGCTATACATATATTAGATTTTTTTTCTTGATAGTTAGTGTGTGTGTGTATATATATATATATATATATATATATATTTGCTTTCGTAGATTTTCACGGGTACAGGAATGCAGGTTTTGGTGTCCTCGGGTGTCTTCCCGTGTAAAAGTTGGGGTGTCTAGGCGACGTTTCGACGAGGTCTCACTCGTCATCTTCAGGCTGGTGCTTTCGGCTTCTTGTTACTGGAACAGAGCAGGATCTCAGTGTTTGAGTTCCTATAAATACTGTTGAGGGGGTGTGGTGTATAGCCTCCAATGTTCTGGGCAGAGAGGAAGTTCCCAGGCTAGTGTGCCTTTTCTTCTTTTGTTCCTTAATTACTTGAGGGATATCTTGAGTGATTTCTTGAGTGATATTCTGAGTACCACTTAGGTGGGTCATTAGGTGTGGATTAGTTGCTGAAGCCTTCGTGTCTTGACCTCTTGAACTTTGTGAAGAGTTTTTCTGAGAAGATGGCTGTACTGCACTTAGTTGTGCTCTGGCTTGGCTTCGGGTATAGGGGCGAGCTGTGGTTTTGTGCCCTGTGCCAGCCAGATCTGTGTAGGGATTGCAGGGGGGTGCAGCATCCGGAGGTGCCACCGTGGTTTGGCTACTGGATGGTGTCTGTAATTTATCTGTGGAGAGGGTCTGGGTTTGGGTCTGGTGTGGTTGATTGGTGATGGCGTTCTGTGTGCCTCTGGATCTGGTGTCGGTTTTTGTGGGGAGGGCTAATTTCCAGATGTCTGGCAGGCGGGACGTGTCGTCACGCTTGTTCATGTTGTGAGGGTGTTTCTCTATCTCGATGGCTTCCATGATTATTCTCTTGTGGTGATGTTCCATGTTAAAGAGCAATTTGGAATCTGCAAAATTAATTTCGTGTCCTGTTTCTTTCATGTGTTGGAAAAGAGAGGAAGTTTTTTCTTCTTTTTTGACGGCATTCTTGTGTTCTGCGATACGTGCATTTATTCGTCTGTTTGTTTGTCCAATGTACGTGGCTGGGCAGACTTTGCAGGGTATTTCATAGACCCCTTGGTTTTCCAACTGGATTTTATCTTTGGGGTTTCTGAGGATATTGGCTATTTTTTGGTTGGTGCAAAAGGCTGTTTTGATATTGTGTTTATGGAGGATTTTGCTAATTTTATCTGTAGTGCCCTTGATATAAGGAAGGAGGGCCATGCCATTGTTTTCTTCTGTGTCTTGGTTTTTGGGGGGTGTTTCTTTTTGGATTAGCTTCGTAACCCTGTTTTGCTGGTATCCATTGGCGATTAACACATTTGAGAGATTCTGTAACTCAGTTGTCAAGTGGTCTTTGTCAGCCAGGCGTTTGGTTCTGGAGATGAGAGTCTTGGCTACGGAGTTTATTTGTGCAGGGTGGTGGTGTGATTGTGCATGTAAGTAGCGGTTGGTGTGTGTTTTTTTCCGGTAGATAGTGTGTCCTAGGGAGCCATCAGGTTTTTTGTAGATTAGGACGTCAAGGAAGGGAAGTTGGTTGTTGGCTTCTATTTCCATAGTGAATTGTATTTTGGGGTGTAGGCTGTTGAGATGTGTGAGGAAGCTATCTAGTTTTTCCTTCCCGTGTGGCCAAATTACAAAGGTGTCGTCAACATATCTGAGCCAAAGTTTGGGTTTGTGTTCTGACTTGTCTAAAGCATTGGTTTCAAAGTGTTCCATGTACAGATTTGCGATGACCGGTGAGAGGGGTGATCCCATAGGTGCTCCTTCTATCTGTTTGTATCTTTGTCCATTGTGGATGAAGTACGTGTTGGTTAGGCAGTGGTTGGTCAGGTCCAGGATGTATTCGGGGGGATTGTATTTGTTTTGAATGGCTGTCAAGGCTTCATTAATGGGCACTTGTGTGAAGAGAGATACAACATCGAAGCTCACAAGTAGGTCATCGGGATGTAGGTTTTGCTTCTTTATTGTTTCTATGAACTGGAAGGAGTTTGTAACGTGTGAAGAGATGGATTCTGCATAGGGCTGAAGTTGCTTAGCGAGAAATTTAGCGAGATTTTGTAGAGGTGAGCCTATGGAGCTGACTATTGGTCTGAGTGGTGTTCCTTCTTTGTGTATCTTGGGGAGGCCGTAGAGTTTGGGGCATCTGGATGATTTTTCTCTGGGGATGATTCTTAGCTGGATTTCTTCACTGATAGGAGAGTGAAGGTAATGACCCACCTAAGTGGTACTCAGAATATCACTCAAGAAATCACTCAAGATATCCCTCAAGTAATTAAGGAACAAAAGAAGAAAAGGCACACTAGCCTGGGAACTTCCTCTCTGCCCAGAACATTGGAGGCTATACACCACACCCCCTCAACAGTATTTATAGGAACTCAAACACTGAGATCCTGCTCTGTTCCAGTAACAAGAAGCCGAAAGCACCAGCCTGAAGATGACGAGTGAGACCTCGTCGAAACGTCGCCTAGACACCCCAACTTTTACACGGGAAGACACCCGAGGACACCAAAACCTGCATATATATATATATATATATATATGCTTTCGTAGATTTTCACGGGTACAGGAATGCAGGTTTTGGTGTCCTCGGGTGTCTTCCCGTGTAAAAGTTGGGGTGTCTAGGCGACGTTTCGACGAGGTCTCACTCGTCATCTTCAGGCTGGTGCTTTCGGCTTCTTGTTACTGGAACAGAGCAGGATCTCAGTGTTTGAGTTCCTATAAATACTGTTGAGGGGGTGTGGTGTATAGCCTCCAATGTTCTGGGCAGAGAGGAAGTTCCCAGGCTAGTGTGCCTTTTCTTCTTTTGTTCCTTAATTACTTGAGGGATATCTTGAGTGATTTCTTGAGTGATATTCTGAGTACCACTTAGGTGGGTCATTAGGTGTGGATTAGTTGCTCAAGCCTTCGTGTCTTGACCTCTTGAACTTTGTGAAGAGTTTTTCTGAGAAGATGGCTGTACTGCACTTAGTTGTGCTCTGGCTTGGCTTCGGGTATAGGGGCGAGCTGTGGTTTTGTGCCTTGTGCCAGCCAGATCTGTGTAGGGATTGCAGGGGGGTGCAGCATCCGGAGGTGCCACCATGGTTTGGCTACTGGATGGTGTCTGTAATTTATCTGTGGAGAGGGTCTGGGTTTGGGTCTGGTGTGGTTGATTGGTGATGGCGTTCTGTGTGCCTCTGGATCTGGTGTCGGTTTTTGTGGGGAGGGCTAATTTCCAGATGTCTGGCAGGCGGGACGTGTCGTCACGCTTGTTCATGTTGTGAGGGTGTTTCTCTATCTCGATGGCTTCCATGATTATTCTCTTGTGTATAATATTTATAATATAATATTTATATAATATAATATTTATATAATATAATATTTATATTATAATATTTATATAATATAATATTTATATTATAATATAATATAATATAATATAATATTTATATTTATATAATATTATAATAATAAAATATTATAATATTTATATAATATTATATAAATATAATATTTTTCTACTATGCTGCTGTCAAGTTAACTATGCCAGCATTAAAATACCTTGAGAATGACTATTACAGATACTAAGATCACAAAATGTAAAGGGTTCAGTGGTTCTAACTCAGTAGCCTGGTTCATGGTTTGTCTGTCAGGGCTGTGCTGACTTGTGCTCTCTCCTTTCTCTCCTCTCTGTTGTTAAATCCAAATTGGGCAAATTATGGTGACTGCAAATCATAATTCAGCTTCAAATCAAAATTTGAAAACCAAATTGAAGTTCCCAATTTTGGGTTGGAGGCAAACTATGGTTTCTGGTAACCATAGGTTGTGCAATTTAGATGTAATATAATAAAAAATTATAGTTACCACAAAACAGGAAGTATGAGAGAGAATTGGAGTGCATGAAGAGGAAGAGGAAGGAGCTTGTGAGCCCCAAAGCATGGCCCCATTGACCAAATCATAGTTCAACTGAAGTATCTGTAAAATTGAGTTTCGTCGACTCAGTTAAGGTCAGCTAAGAGTGACAGTTTCTGATTGGCAAGGCAATTACCAGTGTGTATTCTGCAATTGCACTGTGTATGCTTGGAATTAATTGTTAGATGCAGAATTTGATATGCTAAGAATCTCTGAGATCTTTTATTTCTTTAAAGCACTAGTCCTTCTGGTTCTAAAACTTCAAAACGTGTGGGTAATGCCTGGTGAAAACTTGGATGTCACGTGGGCTGTGCAAGATTTCCAGAGATCTGGGGACAGAACTTCCATGTTTTGCCCCATGACTAGCAGGAGCATAGAAAATTGTGTGAAATAGGGAATTATGTACATATTTGATTGATTTCTAACATTCATATGGGTTGCATAACTCAACCTTTTTATCTTCAAAATTTGGGTTATCAAATTTTGCAGAATTGTTATTTATCTTAAAATGGTTGTACGTTTAGCCAAGAGTATACATAGCTGTGACTTTGTAAAGGGTCAGTAGCAGGTGATGTATAAGGTTCTCTCAGGAACTAATTAGAAGCCTGATTCCACAAAGACACATAAAGTTTCATGAATGCAGTTGGTGTTATTGATTCAAACCAGCGAGGTGCTTTCTCTCTGCAGGGTTTAATTCTTCTCACACCTGTGGTTGGATACACATACACACACACACACACACACACACACACAAAGAGAGAGAGAGAGAGAGAGAGTACCCTCACAATACTCCTAGTGTTAAAGCAACAGCAACACGGAGGCCTTTCTGCCCCCCATTATTACTTATGTACATTATGTACATTGCGGTTATTTTCAGCTTTCTCCACTCCAGATAGCAGTGTTTCGCTTGCTATTTCACTAATCGTAATGAGCTGACTCCTCGTGGTGTGTTGCTGTCCTTGGCAGCAGGCCACTATACCAACAAACTTGGCACCTTTGCATTTCCTAAAGGCAGGAAAGGGTTACACCCAGCACAAATTTAACTTGCAGTGTCAGCCTGTCCCAAATGCCTTGTGAAAAAACACAGTGGCAATGCACGCTGCAATGCATGTTTGTCATGCAGGAACAACAAAACCAACCATCATGTGTTGTTGAAAACTCACATTGAGCAGTCTTTTAGGTACAATGTCATTTTTTTAATACAACACATGCAAGAGGATATCAACTTTCCTTTGCAGTGGATCTAAAGAGAGTGAAACCAGCATAACTGACTGCTCACCCAAACTCCAACACACATTGCTGGGGATAGTTCCCACGAACCCCACTTGAGCTTGAATATCTACCCTTTTTTTATTTTTCTCATTGCATTTCACTTATACATCAGTTCCAAATGAAAACATCTCAAAGCAATTTAACAGTAAAATAGTTGCATTTGCCTTATTAATATTGGCAGGAGATGGTCTCATGCATATTTGTAAAATATCCAGTCATCTAGTCCGCTGTGGCCTGGAGACATGTACTACAGCAGTGTTGCTGATGCTAAGCAGTTTGGGTTTGGTCAGTGCCTGGATGGGAGACCACTTGGAAACTTGGTGCATGTTCTCTTGAGCTTCACATGGGAAGCTGCCTTATACTGAGTCAAACAGCTGGCCCAACTAGCAGAGTTTGTCTACTCAGCCTGGCAGTGTCTTTTGGTTTCAGACAGCAGTTTTTTCCCAGCTGTCTCTAGAAATGGCGGAGATTGAAATGGGGCCTAATGTAATTAAATTAATAATAAATCACAAATGACCTCAGGTAATCACCGAGAGAAGCTTCTGCAAATTGGCTGGTAGTTCCTCTCCACTCACTTATGGATGTAGGTGGTACTGTGGTCTAAACCACTGATCCTCTTGGGCTTGCTGATTGGAAGATCAGCAGTTCAAAACCGCACAATGGGAGCTCCGTTGCTCTGTCCTAGCAGTTCAAACTGGCAGTTCAAATCATAACAGTGCATGTAGGGTTAGGTAAACAGGTACCTCTGCAAGTGGAAGGTAAACGGTTTTCCGGTGGGCTCTGGCTTCCGTCACAGTGTTCTGTTGTGCCAGAATGTGGTTTAGTTCATGCTGGCCACATGATCGGGAAAGCTGTCTGTGGACAAATGCTGGCTCCCTTGGCCTGAAGCGAGATGAGCACCGCACCCATAGTCGCCTTTGATTTGACTTTAACCATCCAGGGTTCCTTTTTTTCTTTTTTCTTTTTGCCTTTCCACCCCTTCCTTTCATGCTTTCTCTGTGACACAATGACTAACAAAGCAAGAAAGTAGTAAACATTTATTCAGACCAGTAAGTATTATTCATAAGATTTCTTGGGTCCAAATATGCCTCAGCCCAAAGTCTCTCCTGCCCCTTAATCCAACCATGGTATTCTTTTAAAACTACAACATAGGCGACCTCAGGCATATTTTGCAAAGAACATGACAAAAACATTGGCTATCATTGTCTGCATTTCTGAAAAGTGAGTCTGCCGAGTCATAAATTGAAGGTGAAAGGTTGCAAATATTTGAGTGCAGTATTAATTACCGCTTGGTGAACTTTAGCGTATGAAGATTTGTCACAACTTTCCTTGAGATTTAATTTCAAGCCAGGCATTACATGGGAAAATTATTTAACTTGTACTTTGGGTTCAGCAATTATCTGCTTACAAGGTTTTATGCATTAGCTGTGTTTAAGATGTCATTATATTTTGCCATCTGGTAACAGGAGTTTATGCATATGAAACAGGCACGTGTTGAAGTGATTCTGACTATATGACTCTTGTTTCTCACCCAAATCATCACTGTAATGAGTCAGAGACACTGTGTACAATACATTAATGCAGGTGCCATATCATCAAGCTTCATTTAATAACGACATTCTTTTTCCATTAATGTATTGTACACAGTGTCACTGACTCATTACAAGTGATGATTTGAGGTGAGAACAAAGAGTCATATAGTCAGAAATCACTTCAACACGTGCTTTATAATGCATAAACTCCTGTGTACCAGATGGCAAAATATAATGACAATCTAAAACACTAATTGCATAAACCTTGTAATGCAGATAAATGCTGAAAACCAAAGTACAAGTTAATAATTTCCCACTGTAAATGCCTGGCTTGAAATTAATCCTCAAGGAAAGTTGTGACAATCTTCATAAACGCTAAAGTAAACCAACGGTAATTAAAACTAGCACTCAAATCATTTGCCTTCAAACTTCAATTAGACTCGGCAAGACTCACTTTCAGAAATGCAGACACTGATAGCCAATGTTTTGTCATGTTCTCTTTGAAAATAGCCTGAGTCCCATGTTGTATTTAAAAGAATACAACATGGTTGGATTAAGGGGCAGAAGACTTGGCTGAGGATATTTTGGACCCAAGAAATCTTATGAAAATAACTTATGGTCCTGATAAATGTTTACTAGCTTCTTGCTGATTAGTCATTGTGTCACAGAAAAGCATGAAAGGAAAGGGGGTGAAAAAGGCAAAAAGAAAAACAAAAAAAAAAGGACACCACTGATGGTAAGTCCAGTCAAAGGCGACTAGGGGTGCGGTGCCATCTCGCTTCAGGCCAAGGGAGCCAGCATTTGTCCACAGACAGCTTTCCCGATCATGTGGCCAGCATGACTAAACCACTTCTGGCGACACAGAACACGTGTACGGAAGCCAGAGCCCACGGAAACACCGTTACCTTCTCCATAATGCGGTACCTGTTTACCTACATGCCATGTTATGATTTGAACTGCCAGTTTGACTGCTAGGACAGGAGCAACGGAGCTCCCATTGTGCGGTTTTGAACTGTGATCTCAATCAGCAAGCCCAAGAGGATCAGTGGTTTAGACCACATACCACCTACATCCATAAGTGCAGTGGGAGAGGAACTACCAGCCATTTGCAGAAGCTTCTCTCGGTGATTACCTGAGGTCATTTGTGATTTAATTATTAATTTAATAACATTAGGCCCCATTTCAATCTCCGCCCATTTCTAGAGACAGCTGGGAAAAACTGCTGTCTGAAACCAAAAGACACTGCCAGGCTGAGTAGACAATACTCTGCTAGTTGGGCCAGCTGTTGGTTTTAACGTATAAGCAAACTTCCCATGTTGAAGCTCAAGAGAAACATGCACCAAGTTTCCAAGTGGTCTCCCATCCAGGCACTGACCAAACCCAAATCTGCTATAGCATCAGCAACACTGCTGTAGTACATGTCTCAGGCCAACAGCGGACTAGATGACTGGATATTTTACAAATATGCATGAAGCCCATCCTCTGCCAATTATAAGCGATGCAACTATTTTTCTGTTTAATTGCTTTGAGTTGTTCTTCATCTATAATATTTAGTGAAATGCAATGAGAAAAAATAAAAAGGGTAGATATTCAAGCTCAAGTGGGGTTCGTGGGAACTATCCCCAGCATGTGTGTTGGAGTTTGGGTGAGCAGTCAGTTATGCTGGTTTCACCTCTCTTTAGATCCACTGCAAAGGAAAGTTGATATCCTCTTGCATGTGTTGTATAAAAAAATGACATTGTACCTAAAGACTGCTCAATGTGAGTTTCAACAACACATGATGGTTGTTTTTTGTTCCTGCATGACAAACATGCATTGCAGCGTGCATTGCCACTGTGTTTTTTCACAAGGCATTTGGAAAAGGCTACACTGCAAGTTAAATTTGTGCTGGGTGTAACCCTTTCCTGCCTTTAGGAAATGCAAAGGTGCCAAGTTTGTTGGTATATGGCCTGCTGCCAAGGACAGCAACACACCACGAGGAGTCAGCTCATTACGATTAGTGAAATAGCAAGCGAAACACTGCTATCTGGAGTGGAGAAAGCTGAAAATAACCGCAAATGTACATAATGTACATAAGTAATAATGGGGGGCAGAAAGGCCTCCGTGTTGCTGTTGCTTTAACACTAGGAGTATTGTGAGGTACTCTCTCTCTCTCTCTCTCTCTTTGTGTGTGTGTGTGTGTGTGTGTGTGTGTATGTGTATCCAACCACAGGTTTGGAGAGAATTAAACCCTGCAGAGAGAAAGCACCTCGCTGGTTTGAATCAATAACACCAACTGCATTCATTAACTTTATGTGTCTTTGTGGATACAGGTTCTAATTAGTTTCTGAGAGAACCTATACATCACCTGCTACTGACCCTTTACAAAGTCACAGCTATGGTTACTCTTGCTAAACGTACAACCATTTTTAAGATAATAACAATTCTGCAAAAATTGATAACCCAAATTTGAAGATAAAAAGGTTGAGTTATGAAACCCATATGAATGTTAGAATCAATCAAATATGTACATATTCCCTATTTCACACAATTTTCTATGCTCCTGCTAGTCATGGGGCAAAAACATGGAATTCTGTCCCCAGATCTCTTGAAATTCTTGCACAAGCCCACGTGACATCCAAGTTTTCACCAGGCATTACCCACACGTTTTGAAGTTTTTAGAACCAGAAGGACTAGTGCTTTTAAAGAAATAAAAGATCTCAGGATTCTACATATCAAATTCTGCATCTAACAATTAATTCCAAGCATACACAGTGCAATTGCAGAATACACACTGGTAATTGCCTTGCCAATCAGAAACTGTCACTCTTAGCTGACCTTAACTGGTCGACGAACTCAATTTTACAGATACTTCAGTTGAACTATTTGATGGGTCAATGGGCCATGCTTTGGGGCTCACAAGCTCCTTCCTTTCCTCTTCATGCACTCCATTCTCTCTCATACTTCCTGTTTTGTGCTGGTAAACTATAATTTTTTATTATATTACATCTAAATTGCACAACCTATGGTTTACCAGAAACCATAGTTTGCCTCCAACCCAAAATTGGGGAACTTCAATTGGTTTCAATTTTGATTTGAAGCTGAATTATGATTTCAGGTCACCATAAATTTGCCCAATTTGGATTTAAAAACAGAGAGGAGAGAAAGGAGAGAGCACAAGTCAGCACAGGCCCTGACAGACAAACCATGAACCAGGCTACTGAGTTAAACCACTGAACCCTTACATTTTGTTGATCTTAGTATCTGTAATAGTCTTCTCAAGGTATTTTAATGTGGCATAGTTAACTTGACAGCAGCATAGTTAGAAAAATATTTATATTTATATTAATATATATAATATTATAATATAATTATTATTATAATTATTATATAAAATATAAATATTATATTATATTATATTTATTATAATATAAATATTATATTATATAAATATTATAATATAAATATTATATTATAAATATTATATTATATAAATATTATATTTATAATAATATATACACAAGAATAATCATGGAAGCCATCGAGATAGAGAAACACCCTCACAACATGAAACAAGCGTGACGACACGTCCCGCCTGCCAGACATCTGGAAATTAGCCCTCTCCACAAAAACCGACACCAGATCCAGAGGCACACAGAACGCCATCACCAATCAACCACACCAGACCCAAACCCAGACCCTCTCCACAGATAAATTACAGACACCATCCAGTAGCCAAACCATGGTGGCACCTCCGGATGCTGCACCCCCCTGCAATCCCTACACAGATCTGGCTGGCACAGGGCACAAAACCACAGCTCGCCCCTATACCCGAAGCCAAGCCAGAGCACAACTAAGTGCAGTACAGCATCTTCTCAGAAAAACTCTTCACAAAGTTCAAGAGGTCAAGACACGAAGGCTTGAGCAACTAATCCACACCTAATGACCCACCTAAGTGGTACTCAGAATATCACTCAAGAAATCACTCAAGATATCCCTCAAGTAATTAAGGAACAAAAGAAGAAAAGGCACACTAGCCTGGGAACTTCCTCTCTGCCCAGAACATTGGAGGCTATACACCACACCCCCTCAACAGTATTTATAGGAACTCAAACAC